ATAATAATAATAATAATACTGTCTCCGACCCACATATGGTGTTCCGATGACTGTAGACACGAGTATATAGGATAAGTATAATTAGTAAATAATTAATAATGTATTAGTGAAAATAATTATCCTATAGTATAAATAATTATAAATTAAGATTAAGATAACTAATTAGTCTAATTACAATTTTTAAAAAATTATAAATCAAGAATTTTTAAATGAGATTAAAGTATATAATCATTTTTAAAAAAATGAAAGTGACATGAGACATATGACTGATAAAAACGGAAATATGGATATAATATGTGAGACAGAGGAAGTAATAAATTATACTTAAAATAAAATTCAAATTAAATTAAATATTTTATTAAACTCAAACCCAAACTAAACAAATTGCTTTATTGCATTTTTTTTTTTTTGTAGTTATTGTTATTGTCATCAACTCGGCTCGTTATACTTATATGTAATAGGTGTTGGATGATGTATTTATTTATTTTTATAATACATGTTAATAAATATATATATTTCTTACAAAATAATTAAAGTATTTGTTGAACCATTAAAGTTAATTTATTATTAATTATAATTGTGAAATAAAATCATTTTAAAATATGGTTTTGGCCGTTCGAATTGTTAGAGAAACATATCATTAATATATTTATCTGCAAACAAGAGCATCCAATAATATATATATCATCTACACAATATAATTGACAAAATTATTTAGAATTCACATATAGTTTGAAAAGTTGGTATCATAGTACACCCATGTGATTAGAATTGAAATTACATAAACATTCCCCGTGTTTTAGAAAATATTGCACATAATCCCCTAAAAATTACATGAGACTTTCTTTTATTTTTAAAGATATTACATAAAGTCTTCTAAATAAAAGAATCTTGTACAATATTGTGTAAAGATAAAAAAATCTCATACAATTTTTAAATTATAATAATACAAACTTTTCGAAACTATGAATTCATCGCAAGTAATTTTGCTCATATAATAGACATACATACAAACATATATCATATAATAATAATAATAGTAATAAACATATTGATTCTACGAAACACGAAATTATAAAATAAAATGATCTAACGGAAAATATTAATTCAGCATGGTGCTGATGTTCAGCACTATACCGGCTGTCTGTTGATTCCCAGACAATCTCTAATCTCTATCTATTTTCATTTATTGTGATGTATTATATGTATACATAAACGTATATATGAACCAACCGTGCACACACATATTTAGAGATATATATAAATAAAGCACATACTCACCTATTTTATTGTGGTTATGTTATATATTATAATATATTTATTCACTTAATAAGTTTACATTTACCTTTTGCGTCATTATGTTTAACATTAAATAATATTTTTATATTTATATAATTTTTTGTATAAACGTCATTCTATTAGTATTATAAGACACTAATAAAAGTATTTTTATTACTTTTTCTTGATTTGTAATACGTTTTGATGTAATGATTAGTATTCAAATATCAATACATAAAAGCTAAATGTAAACTTTCAAAATAGACGAAGTGAGTATTTTATTTGATATAGTTCATGAATGCATAAATCTTTCTATGAATATTGTTCATATAATTGTCAGCTAAAATATGATTACAAGTTAAGATCGCACAAGAACAATATTTATACAATACTTTACAATCTAAATACTTAACAGTAAAATTTGAAATGAAGTTTTGATTGATGTAATATTTGTGAAAAAAAATATTGTATTTTAATAAAAAAACTGTATATTAATAATATTGACATCTATTTAAAATTATAACCAAACACACATATAAAAAATGTTACTAAGATCAAAATAATAAATGATATGACATGCAATATTAAAAATACATTCATTCCTATATTATTATTATTATTATTATTTTTCCATGTAAAATACTTTTGCAAAATATTTATAAATATATATATATATATATATTTTTATGACGATTGTTAATTAATTGATATTTTTGTTGGGTGTTGTACTTATTTTGTATGATTCGTCGTTGAGAGGCGAGTAGTGCGGTGGATTTGTCAAAGATATTCTTTGAAGATATATGGCGAGAAATGATTTTGTTGGGATAGTGGCATCAATTTTTATGATAAATATGTTCAATGAATTTAATAGACTAGTAGGATCTACACTCTCTAAAACGAATTTAATAAATTTTTTAAATTAATAATAATAATAATAATAATAATAGCAACGTCCATATGTTTAAACGAAATTTTTGTTTATTTATTTTTTTAAAAAAAAAATTACAATAGCAAAGGAATGTGTGTTTAATTGATATATATATATATATATATTAATTTGTGTTGAAATTGGGTTTCAAGCTATCGGGAGTTTCAAAGGGTGTTTTCTTTTGGATAAGTTTGGATTGAATTTGAAATGTTATATTTATTTTGATTTATAAGCATGGTTTGGGTTTGAAGGTTCTCATACGTATTGATTTGATACGTAAAAAAAAATAATGATTTACTTATAAAGTCTATTTATTAACAAGAGTACATGCTACTTATTAGAAGTATGTAAGTTGATTAAATGAGGAAGATATGACTTCATTAGGGATATTTTGTTTAAATTTAGAATTTTTTTTACATTTAACTATAATTCTGTGTGTACGTATATCTAATACCAAAGTCCATACTTATAGAGAACCACATATATCATTTGTTAAATTAGAAATTGTGATAATCCTTAAAGTTTTTGACAAAATATAACATTAATGACTTATTACCCAAATTTTGCAACCATATGTTTCAAACTTTAATTGCTCTTAATTCATGCATAAAATTTAACATACAAATCTGATAAATAATATTAGACAGCCTCTCCAACGTCTCCTGATTAAATCTTCATAATTATTTTTGTACGATATGTTTTGACATCGTCGAATTCGATAATCCATCTGCTAAGAGGGTAAGTTTTCGTGTTGCATAAAGATTAAGTTTTAGAGAACATACATACTAGTGACACACAATCATGTTCATCGCCTTAGACATGACAATATTTAAAAAACAAACATAACTCTGCAAAAGTATATAACACCGATTCAAGTTTATGACATAACTATATAGGTATGTAACTTTTTTTTGTAGAAGAACGCCAATTGAAAACCATAACACACATTATATACCATTTGTTGTAACCAAAAGTATTTGGAAGCATTAACGCACACTAGTAAAAACAAAAAATAAAATAAAAATTTATAGATCGAAAAAAATAAATACATGAACAACCAACAATTTGATAAAGTTATATCAACAAACAAGTTGGTTCAATTGTGGAATCTCAGGAGGCATCGGCTTGATTGGAGTCATCCCTAAGGGCCCGAAGACCCAAGAATGAGTGAAGGTTGCATTGGTCGAGCCCAAAAGCTCTTGTATGTTCGCAATTCGTACAAATGACCTTCAGAACTTAAAAAAGGTTACTCCATACGAGAAATTGGCACCAATGGTATTTTTTTTTCAAAAAAAAAAAAAATCGAACTCCACCCACCTCATATCGCAACGATTTTATGGCAAAATTAAACCTAATATGATGAAAATGAAGTTAATTCTATATATAATAAAGTTACTTACACTTTAAAATATATCAAAATAACTTATATTTAAAATGATGGTATGTTACGATTTCGAGGTAAGCTCGACTTACACCTAAACTTGTACAAACCATATTGAAGCACATGACAAAGAGACTAGAGTACACTACGAAGTCGAAAGCACAAAACTAAAATATTGATTTGATCAAATACAAAAACTTTAACTTAGTTCTTGAACTTTGTTTGGAAAAGAAAATCATATTCGATATTTCGAGCAGACTGTGCACTTTTATTTTATCTTATTAGTTGGTCTTTGATAAAAAAAAAAAAAAAAACTTCCAATATAGTAGCGGTGATGATTTTAAGGATGACAGTCGGAGGCGTGTGTATTATTTAGATTTGGTTATTTTTAGATGTATTATTTTTGTAATCGATTATAGTATATAAATAATAAACCAAGGTACATTACTTTGCAATTAAATTTGTATAACATGACAATTTTAGGGTACGTAAGTAAAAAATATAGATTTACGTAAACTCAACGAAAGTATATAATATACTCCCTCCGTCCCATAAGTAAGTATACATTTGCTTTTTGCACGTAGTTTTAAAAATATTAGTATTATATTGAGATATAGTAGGAATAAAGTAGAAATGACTAAAACAACCTTATTGGTAATGACATTTGTATAATATATTGTAAGTTGTAAGGGTATTTGTAATGTTAGGTAGACAGTATAATTACTAAAAAAAGAAATAGATACTTTATTATGAGACGGACTAAAATAAAAAAATAAATACTTTATTATGGGACAAAGAATATTTATTATATAAATTATAATTTCATGGGCAAAATAGATACTATAGAACTATTCGTAAACATCTTACATATGCAAGTACAGTGTCTCTTAATAAAAAAAAAAAAAAAAATTTAAATTACGATGAAAAAAATTATATTTTTATATATAAAAATGAAGTACAGCATATTTAAAAAAAAAAAAAAAAAAAAAAAAAGAAGAAAAACGTAAAGGTACGAACAACGAAACCAAATATTAATATAATAATAAGGCATTAGCCAACTAGCCATGGCCCATTCACAATATAAATAGAGAGCCCAGACCGAGAGGGCCCATCTCCCGAAACAGGGAAAGAGAAGAGAAGAGACATACAAATAAATACTCCTCCGTACCACTACAAACTACATATATTTTTATTTTGAGATGTCTAATTATAAAGTAATAATTTTATTAAGTATCTTATTTTTTAAAAAAATATCCATTTTTTACATCATATAATTATTTTTATACTAAAAAAATAAGAATAAAAATATCATTATACTATTTTTATCTATCCCCTATAATTAAAATATTATTATTTATTAAATTTTACATAAAAAAAAAATAAATGTATATATTTTATTTGAACGGAGAATGTATAATATATTATAATATAATATAATATTATATATAATGGTTTCCAGCAACAAAGTTGCTTTCCCTTGCCTTGTGCGTCTCTCCTCTCTCTCTCTCTATATATATATATGCGTCTGTATGTATATGTATATGAATCTGTATGTGCTCCCACACACCACTCTGCACTGCTCTGTTCTCCCACTCCGTACCTCGCCTTCGTACTTTTCTCCCCTTTATAACAACTCCTCCACTCCTCCTCCTTCCTTATCTGCTTATCTTCCTCTCCTTTCCTTTCAATACATCCATTTTTCCAATAATTATTTCTATATTTATCGTCGATCGATTCTTCGTGGAATGAGCGGATCGGATCTGTCAAATTAATTTTTTATGAGCTCAATTAATGGATTCTCCGCCGGATATGGCCGCCGGATCTCGCCCCATGCTTGGCTTCCACCTCGGAATCGCTCTCCTCCTCGTCTCCATCTTTACTCTCACCGGAATATTCTCCTGCTGCTACCACTGGGACAGGATCCGCCGCTCCCTCTCCCAACGCGCCGCCGAGGACCACGCCAAACTTACGGTGTGTGTTCTAGAACCTTCATTTCATTTATTTTTCATAATAATAATAATCATAAATAAATAAATAAATAAATAAATAAAATTTATTATGTTTGGTTGTTGAATTAGGATCGGAAGGAGGAGACGCTGCCGGTAATCATGCCGGGGGATGACGTACCGAAGTTCATAGCGCTGACGTGTCCGCTGGAGCCGCCGCGGCCGCAGGGTGGTGTCGCCGGCGAAGTGCTCCGGCCGCCGCCCCGGCCGCGGCCGAAGCCGCTGCTCGCCGCCGTGCCGTTCTATACTCTAGTCGGGCCGTACTAGCCGGCCGGCCTGCAGTTACGCAAAGTAAATATTTGTAAACAATTTATCAAAATCGAGTACGTTCTAGAACATACCCGTACGGATACTATAATTTAATTATTTATGTGTTTTTCTTTAGATTTTTTTTATTATTAAAAATTGAGTATTGAATGGATGTTTTAAGTTATTGTATGTAAATATATTGTGTGAAAATGGAATAGTAAACTTCAGATGATATTTATTTATTTGTAGACTAAAAAAATCATATTCTTTTTAATCTTTTATTATAAAAGATAACAAATAATAAAAAAAAAATACACATTTTATTAAAATTTTTGTCACAAAATTTGAACATAAGGGTATGTTTCTTTTGGGTTGAGTTTAAAAAATTTTAGTTTGAGTTTGATATTAAAATAATGTTTGATAGAATATTTTTTGAAGGAAAAAAATATTGCATATAAAGGATAAAAATATAAGATATATTAAATTGTATATATATATATTATTCATAATTTTGATGTTTTTTTTTTTATAAAAACAAATGAATTATTATGATATTTTACATAACAAATAAATATTTGATATATTTTCTTAATGCTAAAAAATCGTAATGAAAATTTCATGATCGTATTTACCTTACAAGTTTTTTTTTTTTTTTTTTAATGCAAAATTATTAGATGAATCACTATACCAAATAAACATATGAATGTGTGATTATTTAATCAATTGATTAAAATTTTCGTTTATTTAATAAGTATTCATCGTCACTCAATAAAGTAAACCTAACCCAATACCGATATAAATAAATGTGAAAACAATTTAATAAATAACCGCGTGAATATTTTATGATATAAATTTGTTTAACGTTCCTTTATTTATTTATTGTCTAATTACTCTTTTAGTATGTTTTTAAATTGTCTGATAAATTGATTTAAATATTTATTTATAGGAAAAATTATTTTTTTAATCCCGTAATTGAAACCCCTCCTGTAAGTGGAACATATCGCAAACTAGTCCTATAAGTGAAAAATTTTCGCTTTTTTAGTCCTCCGACGCCGGAGACGCCCGCGTGGCTCGCCGGAGGTGACGTGTCCGCCAGGTGTCCCGCCAGGTCAGCAACACCTGGCGAACACGTGAATTTATTTTTTTTTCATTTTTTTTAATTGGACCAAATAAAAAAAAAAAACAAATAAAATTAAAAATAAGTTTTAAAAAAATAAAAAAAAATGAAAAAAATAAAAAATCTACGTGTCCGCCAAGTGTCGCTGACCTGGCGGACATGTCACCTCCGGCGAGCCACGTGGGCGTCTCCGGCGCCGGAGGACTAAAACAACAAAAAATTTTCACTTATCGGACTAGTTTATGACAGACTCTACTTACGGGACTAAAATAATAAAGGAGTCCAGTTACGAAAAAAAAAAAAAAAAACAATTTACCCTTATTTATATTTTGAATTTAAAATTCAATCTCCATCTCTGTTTTGTGTACATTGTACTTTATATTTTTAAAATATCTGCATAATTCACTCTCTATCTTTTTTAACTTTCTAATACTATTTTTTTTTTTATCACAAATCTCTCTGCTTTCTAATATTACTTTTATTTATCACAAAATTAATTTTTTACATTTTTCTTTTTTGCGCCAAAGTAACGATAAGCCAAATCTTAATTTAAATTAATTTCACGCGAAAGTAAAACAAGTAAGGCGAAGACTGCAATTTTCTTCTGATGTGAGAATTATAGGATCATCATTTGCTAAATACAAACTCCACACAAGCTCAGTTGAAAGCGAAAATTAGAATTTAATGCATGATTGTTCATTCACTATTATTTGATATTATAAGTAATTTTGTTTTTAAAAATGATTTATGTAATCGATGAATATTCTTATTAACTATGGGATATGGGATATATTGTACTCCCTCCGCCCGGTAAAGATATATCCATTTATTTTTTACACGTAGTTTTAAAAATATTAATATTATATTGAAATATAGTAAAAATAAAATAAAAATGACTAAAATAACTTTGTGATATAAAGGTAATGACATTTGTGTAATATATTGTAAGTTGTAAGGGTATTTGTAATGTTAGGTAGATAGTACAGTTACTAAAAAAGAAAATGAATACTTTGTTATGGGACGGACTACAATGGAAAAATAAATATTTTGTTATGGGATGAAGGGAGTATTTTTTTTTTATATATTTTGCAGTAGTTGTTGATTTTACATTCTAACCTTCTGTTGAGAATATATAGGGGAAAAAAAAATTGTGAGTTGTTGCAATAATATTCTAGTATGTATAGACATTTTCACGGTGTACCTTTTTTTTTTTTTTTTTTCTTCAGTATAGTAAACCTATACTTATTAATTTTATACATATGTTTTCTGATATTATTTTATGTACATGTATACTGGATATTGTTAAAATACTTTTTCTATACGGGGGTAACTGCCGACAATGATAAAAATTGGGAACAAATTTGTTGAAATTTTATGATTGGAAAGACTACACCTTTTTTAATAGACACTTAAAATTTTCAAAATTCATCCCCGTCGTATTTATTTATTATTTTTTATTTTCTAATAAAAAATACTCTGTCATTCGGTTCTAATGGAATGCATCATTTTTTTAGTATATTAAAAATTATTCTTCCTCCATCCCAAATATGGTGTCATATTTATTGTAGTTACAGAAATTTATAAGGTGTATGATTAATATATAATTAAAATTGTATTAGTAAAATTAATTATAATATAATAAAAATAATTATAAATTAAAATTAAAATAACTAATTAGTTTAATAAAATTTTTAAAAATTATAAATTATAAAATTTAAAATATAATTAAAATGTAAAATACTTTTCCAAAAATAGAAAATGAACAATATATAGGACAAACAAAAATGAAAAATGTGACATGATATGTGGAAGAAATGGAATAGTATTTTATTGATTAATACAAATATTTAAAATAATTTTAATATTTTTACTCTTGTAAGAACAAGGAAATGAGATATTTTTGTAAAAATATAAATTAATTTGGTATTTTTATATGAATTGTTACTATGATAAAAAACTAAATACTTTTAAATGAAAATAACGAAAATAGTTAAAATAATAAATTGAGGTGAGACAAGTTGAGTATATTATTATTTATTATAAAATATTATATTAAATTATTATTTCAATGAAAAATAAAATATAAAAAAATATCATAATATACTTCTTTTTAATAAATTATATAAAAAATTTTATTTAATATTTATTTATATCATATCAAATTTTTATTTGAGCTAACATTTTTTATTATTTCAAAAAAGTAAAATACGAGCAAACAAATTCTATTATGCTCTGTGCTATTCTACCTAACACATAACAAACCAATATAGTTCTAATATTCTAAAAAATTATGTAGATATACAATAGTTTATACTCAAAGTAATCATCCATGTATTTGTCAAATAATATACGTACAATAATATTGTTGGAATTAATTTCCATCAATGTTTAGATCTCGAATACAATAACAACTGATAACAGGCCATTAGTTTATTAAACAAAAAAAATTGTTAGATTGATATTAAGAGGTATAGTTTGATAATGTTATTTAAATAAATTAGAATACTAGTTTTAGCTGAATTTTTAAATAGATATTATATCTAGAAATTAGCCGTGAGTGTTGAATTAATTTTGTAGAAAAGAAAAGTCATTATTGAATGAAAATACTTAAACAACACTTTGATTAGAAAGTAAGTATTATAGTGATTTCTTAAGCAATATTCAACCAAAAAGTAATCAAATCATTGATATACATTCTAAATACGAAGAGATTATCAAAGACTATCTACAGAAATGAAGGTTCAAATATTGTGGCATTGAATTTTGTGTCTTGCCAGGGCTAATCACAGATAGTCATAGTCACAAGATTGATGATAATATTGAGTTGTTCATGATGTTTTAATATGAGTGTTGGTAGATAGGAAAATAGATGGAGACTCTATATTCCTTGTATTTTAAGTATTTGTAATGAAAGTACAAGATTGGATTGGTATCTCTAAAGTAGGACATAAAAATCTGAATTGGATCAACAAACTCGTGTGTAGCTGATTTATACATGTATAAATACAAAATTCACACACTGTTCGGATAACTTTCTAACAACTCTATGTTAAAAGAGTATTTCTTTAAGTTGTTGTGCAATACAAGATGGTCAATATTCTAATCAACTCGAAGTCCAATTTTATCAAATACAATGCATATAACGTAAGCAAAAACAAACATAACACAATATTTATTTTTTCAATTCAGTCACCAATAAAACTTACATTTAGAGAGTTCTAATATGAATCATTCTAAAATTTTATGGTACTAAATATATTCAAAAGTACATTAATTTATGTTGAACAAAGGAAGACAAAGAGAGCAAGTCGTATGAAAAGTAAAAAGGGGAGGAAAAAAAATAAGGAATGAGAATATTTAATTAAAGAGAATATATTAATTGGCGGTAATGAAAGAGAGAATTAAGGATGAAAGGTTAACAAAATCCTTTACTCCCCTCAAGATGGAATATGTAGATTTCCAATGCCTATTTTTTCAAGAAGTAAGCGTAATTGTTGTGCTCCTAATTCTTTCGTGAATAAGTCTGCAATCTGCAACTCTGTAGTAATGTGCATGGACATGATCTCCAGAGACTCAACCTTCTCAGGGACGAAGTAGGAATCCATCTCAACATGCTTGGTTCGTTTATGAAACACAAGGTTGTTGGTGGTGTGGTGAGCTGCTTGATTGTCACAAAATAAAGGTGTGAGAATCGTAAGATGTACCTTCAAATCCTTAAGCAATCAACGCAACCATAAAATCTCATTAACTGTGGTCATCATTGCCTAAAACTTTGCACTGCTGAAGAATGGGATACCAAAGATTGTTTCTTAGTTTTCCATGATATTGGAGCACCTCCGAGCAGGAGGATGTATCATGTTCTAGACCGCCTAGTGTAGGGACAACCTAGCCAATCCGAGTCACAATATGCAATCAAATTACTTCCCCCATTTCGTAGGAGAATGATACCTTGGCAGCAGTGGCCTTAAGGTATTGTAACACAATCATCGTTGTTTTCATGTGACCTTAACGAGGATCATTAACAAATTGGCTCAAAATATTCACCGAATAGGCAATGTTGGGTCGAGTGGCTTGAAGATATAAAAGTCTTCCGACTAACTGTTGGT